CATTAAATGATGATTTAAGAAGACAATCAGAGACAGAGTTGATAGGAAATCGTTAATTTGCAAAACATTGGGATCAATCAATTTTCCCATAAACTTATTCCTTTGGTTGGATTTTGGTTTTCAGAAGCTTTTAACCATTCAATTGTCCAAGTTTTATCAATTAAATAATTGTTATAATTAATGATCGTCCACCTTGACCTGGTTAGTTTGGGTTAAAAATAGTTGCCATCATTGGTTGATTTAACCACGCAGATTCAATGTAATAAAACATATTCATTTGTTTTCCTTTACCATGCAGTATGATATTGTTCAAAGTGTAATCCAGTTCATCTAATAATTCAAAGTGAATTTCAACTTTTGTTTGCATTCAAGTTTAAATTATGTTTGCTCTTAGATTCAACGATTGATTTTCAAACAATTAACCGGCAACTTTTACAATTAATCGTGCAATAGATATCCAAGGAAAGTATTAAAAAATGAAATAGTTTCAACAGTCGACTAATTGTTATCTAATAGACATAAAACAACTCGAAGTCAACCCCAAGCATCCAGTTAATTGTCGATAGACTCAACAGTTAAGTGATGATGCGTCCAACTAACTTGGTCAACTCTCAATTGAGTCCGTCTTTTGGTCTTAATCAAAGAACAGGTTCGCCAAGCTTGAGTCCAGAGATAAATATGATGTTAATGTCTAATCGCAATGATGACAAAACAACTGACATGGTGAGTTGAATAATCAGTTAACCAACAATTAGAACAGTCTTTTGTTAATTATTTGATTCGATCCATCATTGGTAAATAATAATTTGATTGATTCTGCGAATATTTCCTTCAATGTTGATCGTTAGCTGAAAAACAAACAAAACATTAGTGTTGTTTAAATTGAAATTAATGCAATTTAAAGACAATTATAAGCCAATGAATATTTAATTGTTTGGACTAAAGCTAATCTCTATTAATCTGTAATGTTTATCCAATCTGAAATGGTAAATTCAATGGATTGCATATAAAAGTAATGAGTTTCGATTGATTGATTATTATTATTTTTGTTTCTCTTTTGTGCCTGTTTCTTTTTCAGGTAAAAATCGATGAAATCCATAGAGCAGTTACTTTGGGTAATCTTCGTAATGTTCAACAATTAATTGACCGAAAGCGATTGGCATATTGTCGGGATCAAATGGGTGCAACACCTTTACACAAAGCAGTTATTTATGGACAGAAAGAAATTATTGAATATTTTCTCGATAGGTTTCCTTCAACAATCCATACAAGAGATAATGTAAGTAAACATTAAATATTTCAATATTGACATTATCATTAATCATATTAATATGTCTCACAATTATAAATAAAGTTTTCAAAAATTGAGGTCGAAATTGAAATGAAGTTGTTCTTTTCGTTTTTGGGTGAAAAGTCAACTTTCTTGGCAAACTTGGGCCCTTCAATAAGGAAAGCTTTTCTGGACAGACAAACTGTAACACTAAACATTTAAACTGAATCAGATCATTAAAATCTAAATTAGAAGATTATAGATTAATCTAGTTGATTTGAATCGATCAGACAACAATGATTTATTGAAAACTAAACCTGAGAATGGACAGAGTTAATATTACCTTTCTCATTTCAAATAATCAATTCAATGATTGTTCAAGGTTGTAAGTTTCATATTTGGTTAGTTGTCAGTAATCATGAAAATGAAGCCACCCAAACCTGTGAATAAGAGTAGAAACTAGATTAGAATGGATTGTAATGTGAAATGAGTAAATAATTCAGTAATAATAGTATTCGTCTGTGATAAGATATTGAGAAAAAAGGGTTCATTT